GTATTATTGTTATTTTTTCATTTGTGTTGCAAGTGTTGTTATGTTTACATTGCTTTATGATTGTATTATTTTATAGACTATCAATATTTATTTAAAGAATTTAAAAACAGTGTAGGGAAAAGAGAGTGAAAATTCTTACCTATTGAATTTTTATTCAGAAAGAGATTAAATAACAGACAGTTGAAATCTTTAAACAGTTGATTATGAAGTGGAATGTAAATATATTCTTTTTTTCACTCCAAAAGTTCGATATAAAGTTGTATAAATTAGATGTGACTAAACGATAGGAAGTGACTGGGGTCCCGGTTAAAAATAAGACTTTTTGAAAACCTGGCAAATCTGTGGTATCATTTACAACTTTCTTTCCACTGTTCGATTGGTTTAGTAAGCCAATCTGTTTTAATGCTAATAATGTTGAACAATTTATAAGATGTAGGTCCTAGAAGATTTGAAAAACTTATTTGACAAGTGTTTTCATGAAAAACTGGCTTACAAAGACGAAAAGTTACTAGAATTTTCAAGAGTTTGGCTGTCATATCTTTTTTCACAGTGGAACTAACATGTTTGCTGAAAAAAGCAAATGAAACTACCTGTTCTGTAAATACCAAAGGTTTTGTAAAGACAAACATCAGCAACTTCTTCATCTATTTCTTTGTAGTCCATCATGTCGTGGATGAATTGCAGATAATTCATAGGTGCATTATCATCTGTTCATTCTAAAAAGTTTGGTCATCATCCTCTGACAAAAATTTTTATATTTTTTCAAATATAAAAGACTAATGGGGTGTTAGTTAGACCAATCAAATTGCTCTCCAGAATTTTTAAAAATAGGGATAAAAGATGCCAAATTCCAGCAGGCTGGAAAACAAGACTCTGATAAATGCTTATTAAATAGTTTTGAAAGTGTAGACAACAGCTCCAAAGAACACTTCTGGCTTGACTTCAAATTGTCAAATACTTCGAATACTTCATACTTAAATTTGTTGAAAAGAAATAAAAGATTCTATGCCAGCCTGAATCTAAGAAGGTACATAAGAAGCAAATTTTTCAGCAAGAAGACTAAAGGTTTCTACCCAAGGGTTGTCATTAACAAAATCATGGAAAGAGTTCCTGTTTCAGCTTTAGGTTAGTTGTAAGAGGTTTGATAAATCTGATGATAAAGAAGAATGAAATAATAGTTTTGGGGAGATTAAATTGTGATCCAAAACACCTAAGGGTAAATGTGGAGAAATGAAGGGTAAATGTGAGGAATTTAGGTGAATTCTTATAAATGTAGATGCCGAGGCCAAACATGTGACTATTGGAGTCTTCACAAATTAAAGGAAGATAACCATCAACACTAAGATTACTAGATGAAACAGCTGTACTCAAATTAGTCTCACAAAGAGCAAATAGGTCTGGTGAACATTGCAAGAGATAAGACTCAACATAGGAAAAGTTACTTTGAAGACCACAAATATTAGTGAATGATAAATTTAAACTTGGTGATGATGATGGATTTTTGTGTTTTATAGTTTTTGATACTTTTTAAATTAATTAAAGAATTTGACTCAAAGCACAGATATTTCTCAGCATACTAACTGTCCAAGCAATTGCCTCATTACTATTAATAAATCTGAAGCCATAGTGAAGGGCTCTAAATGTGGTTCTGACAACGTACACCAAAAGTAAAAACAGTGACACCATCCATGCGCAACATGGCACTGTTAGTACTCTGATATTTTACAGCTGTTGATGGAATCAGCCTCTCTGAGAGCTACCACAGAGTTCAAGAAGCCTGACTACCAGCTGGCCTCAGAACCATAAAACTGAATTTTAGAGCTGTACCCTCATTAGGAAATAATAAAATAGGTTGCCTTGACATAAAAATAGAGACACAAGCAAGTCAAGAAGATCTAGCATTAAACATCCTAAACTGGAAGCAATGTATTATAAATGCATCTACGCCAGTCTAATAGATGAAGAAGGGGTGTGAGACTGGTCAACAGATAGAATCTGTTTACTCCTTAAGTCTTTGCCTAGGATGTCTTCTACAAAATAGTAGTTGGATGTGTTTAACATCTGTCCAAGATGAGTATTTTTATTGAGACACCAACTCTAGCCTTTACTCAACGAAGAACCTCAAAGCAGGGGGTGTTTTAAGTTGGAGTTGGTTTCTTTTAGCCTTTGCCTAAAAACGCGTATCCTACAAGACAGCAGGACATGAAGCAGGTTGTACTGGGTTACATGTTACCATTTTCTACCAGTAATATTACTGGCAGTGGTATCAAATTCCAATGCCACAACATTGTTTTTTAGATTTCAAGCTTCTAGAAAATCTAATATTACATTTGCTTCAATCTTTCTTTTTAAATCAACGATAGCAGGAACACTGTGCAACTTTCCTTCACTGTATTCTGTATACACCTGACACATTTTGCACACCTAGTATGTCTTTTAGCAATTTTAAGTCCCATTGAAAGGCACCAAACTAAGGTGGGTTGAGCCTCACATTTTGTATAACACTCTCAGCAATCCTCTGTTGACTTAACAATCAACTTTAATGAGATGTCGATGTGAAGATATCAAAATTGTCCAAGTTTCCACCACCAGCTTTAATTACTGCAGACATATTTATAGTTGTGGTATTATCAGACAATTTCAGCCTGTCTGCTCCATAAGTGATTTCATTTGATTGCATAATTCTTTTAGGGAAATGAAGAGTAACAAATTCTGTTAGTCTTTCTGTAGGAGGTTCATAATTCAAGTCACAGTTCCACCCTAAACCGACATCTACTTCAGCAACATCAATATTTTCTTCAATATTTTTTTCTATGTCCTCATCACCATGATCATACTGTCTACCTTCTTTTTCTACTCTCTCATTTTCTTAACGGCTGAGTATGATTTTTGGATTATATATGACTTCTTGCATTTTTGCTTTAAAAAATTTGGTCATGTCTGACTACAGTTGCCTTCAATTTTCATCATTATTTTTTTTTGGGCAGTCAGAAGTCTGAATATCCTGTATGGCATCAGGTGATCCAATCTCAAAAAGACTATCCAACTTGGCCAAGAAGTTGACACATATATTCTGCCTGCATCACTTTGCGATTCTTGTTCTTCAACAAGCATTTTCATTCCAAAGTCATGTAAGTCATCTAACACCAAATTTTCTCTTGCTTTTGTCTTGATGTGCCATGTTCCCGAAAGTTACAACTGCATCAATAATTATATAGTTATTTACTTGATTTGTTACACGATTTCTGACATTTCTTCATCACGTCATAGAAAAATAAAATATTTCAAAACCTGTCTGCAATCAGGTAGTTTAGAACCAGTTATTGATGGTGATGGGTGTCCATTTAACCAAAAGTAGAAGTACAAATAACAGGCCTTGTCGATGATGAAGGCGATGAAAGTTGGTCAGCTGTATCTGACAAACAACTTGAAATTGTACAACTATATCACTTCTTGTCAACATTTCAGTTTTAATTTATTTCACTAAAACAAAACATATTAATTAAAAATATTACATATTAATAATACATATTAAATTGTGTCAATATCATAATATTAATTTGCTTGTCTATGAAGTTTGTAATCAATGCAAAAATTTGCTACTGTTTTCAAGAAATTGAGGCTTATCTTTAGGGGCTTTGAGGGGGCTCTAGATTAGTTATTAAATGAATCGGTAAATGTTAAAAAATTGAAATTCCAACAATGTAAACTTACGGGAAACTAAAAAAAACTGCATTTCCCCCCAAATTAATTTTTGTTAATGGTTTAATAATTTTTTTAAAAAAAAAATTATCAAACCATTATTTACTATGTTGAGTGTACATACTTCATCTGAGTGTTTATGTTTTAGGCTAGTACTTTTTTAATTAATATAAAAGTTTTTAAAACATGAGATTTGAAACTTGAAAAAAAAAATTAAATACCTCCCCCACTGTTGCATGTTATAATTTGTTAACAACCCCTTGACTACATTGCCAGTATTTTTTTTTAATATCTATAACTTTTTTAGCTTTTGTAACATTTTTCAAATAAATTTTTTTTTTTACTCAATCAACTTTTTTTTCTGCTACTTGTTTTATACTCTTTTTCTCATTATTTCTTTTTTATGTAAACAACACGAAATTCTTGAGTTATCTATTACATATCACTTGACTGTAAATAAGCCTCTTTTTTTTAACTTTTTCTTTGAATTTTATTTGGAAGATGAGCGATTTTATAATTTCAAACTTTATGTTACTGAAGAAAATGAAAACATGAAGAAAATGATTGTTCTACTTATGAGTTTTTTTTATCTATTACAAATTCATCCATTGCATTTTCGTTTAATAAATATTCATCTAATGCATTTTTATTCAACTTAATTTGGTCTAATATAACTTTACTTCAAATGACTTGTGAGGGTGCAAACTTTGCTTTATCTATCACATCAAGTGCATATAGTTCTATGCAACTTCTAGTAATCCGTTTTAGAAACTTTGAAAGATCCTTCTGCAAAATTCACACTTGCAATGGCACTATAACTTTAAAAACACTTCCTATTTAAAATTTTTTTGATAATGCTTAAAAAACAATATTTATTGGCTGGATAATGCAGCTTCCATTGTAATTGATCAATAGTATTTTTTTATTTCTTGTTTAAAAATTGATAAATGCTTGTTTTTCTAAAGTTGGAGCACTCCAGAAAGCTTTATTAATTAATGAATCATGGCATTATTAATTAATGAATCATGGCTGAAGGTATTATGTAAATGTACCATTAGTAATGGTACATTTACATAATACCTTCAGCCAGTATTTCTCTGCCAATTTTTATCTTGATTGAATCTCTCAGAGACTCCATTTAATTTGGCAAATTTAAGATATGCTTTCTAGTTAGTCTATAAAACTTATTAAGATTTTTAAAATGTTCTTTTTCATTTTCCCTAGAGCTTTTCAAAAAGTTTTATGTTTGGTAAGAAAAGTCTCAAAAATAATGAGTTACTTTACATCAGAGTTGTTAA